TCAGGTCTAGGTACCTGGGTACCTGGGTACCTGGAAGACGGTCCAGAAAACGTCCTGTGGCTAATGGTGGCGCAACCACTCAACGCGGCCATGTGACAGCGCGCGTCGCCCCCCCGATGCCCCACTGGCGCGTCCGACGGCAGAAAGTGGACATCGAGGAAAGACCATGATCGATGGAGTCAATTCTTCGGCGAGCTCCATCTCCCCTCCCCAACCTGGAGATCCGATCGACATCAGCCTTCTTTGCTTTGTTTGCCACCCATTCACTCCCATCCATTGTCCCTGTTCTATTGTCGCTTCGTCTTAGCTCATCGCCCTAGATCCATCCGTCCTCCTCCATTTGCCACTCCACAGCCAAACATGGCCGTCGACTGCCCAATATGCAACAAGCCCGTCAAGCCAAATCTCATCAACAACCACATCGACTCGGGCTGCGAGAGCTTCGTCCTCGACCCATCTTCCAGCGCCAACACGACGTCCTCTCCGCCTCCCTCGACGCCTTCGCACACCAACGGCGCCGGCAACATGCTGACCCAGCCGAAACGATCCGCCGCTTCCACCTTCTTCCAGACCCCCGCCGCAAAACGGCAGGCCACGACGAACCGCGTGCTGACACCCAACGCCAACGGCAAGGCGGCTGGTCCGCTGGCGCCAGCAGCAGGGAAAAAGAGAGCCTTTGACGACGGGCCAGGCCAGGAAATGGTGGCACGAACAGACACAGACACATGCGCGACGACGCCTTCAGGAGAGCAACCACAGCAACCACAGCAACCACCCGCAGCCCAGGGCGTCCTCGATGCTCCGGCGCCCAAACGCACAAAGACGGCCCGTTCGGCGCCCCTCGCTGAACGCATGCGACCGCAGGCTCTCGACGATGTCTTTGGTCAGGACCTCGTCGGGCCCCACGGCGTCCTGCGCTCCCTCATCGAGACGGACCGCGTGCCCTCGATGATCCTCTGGGGCGGCTCGGGCACCGGCAAGACCACCATTGCCCGCTGCATCGCCCACCGCGCCGGCAGCCGGTTCATCGAGCTCAACGCCACGTCGACGGGCGTCGCCGAAGTCAAGAAGATGTTCCTCGAGGCCGCCAACGATCTCGCCCTCACCGGACGCAAGACCATCATCTTTTGCGACGAGATTCACCGCTTCACCAAAGCCCAGCAGGACGTCTTCTTGAAGCCCGTCGAGGCCGGCACCATCACGCTCGTCGGCGCCACGACGGAGAACCCCTCGTTCCGCGTCGGCGCCGCCCTGCTCTCGCGCTGCCGCACCTTTACGCTGCAGAAGCTCAGCGCTGAGAACATCGCCGCCATATTGCGCCGTGCCGTCGCCGCCGAGTGTCCCGGCGGCCCTCCCCCGCTGCTCTCGGACGGCGCCAACGCCGACCACCTGCTGACGTACCTGGCCGCCTTTGCCGACGGCGACGCGCGCACGGCCCTCAACCTGCTCGAGCTGGCCCTCTCGCTGGCGGCGCGGCCCGACACGACCATGGACGACCTCAAGGCGTCGCTGACCAAGACGCTCGTCTACGACCGCGCCGGCGACCAGCACTACGACACCATCTCGGCCTTCCACAAGGCCGTCCGCGGCTCCGACCCGGACGCCGCCCTCTACTACCTCGCGCGCATGCTCCAGTCGGGCGAGGACCCCCTCTTCG